GTGTNCATGTTGATGTAGAAGAGACATGAAGAAGAGGGGACACATGTTGATGTAGAAGAGACATGAAGAAGAGGGGACACATGTTGATGTAGAAGAGACATGAAGAAGAGGGGACACATGTTGATGTAGAAGAGACATGAAGAAGAGGGGACACATGTTGATGTAGAAGAGACATGAAGAAGAGGGGACACATGTTGATGTAGAAGAGACATGAAGAAGAGGGGACACATGTTGATGTAGAAGAGACATGATAGGTGAGCTTTAAGAAATAGCAGCAGAAACACGTTATAAAAAGGGTGTTTAAAAAGCAAAGATAATAAACTAAACATAAAAAAGACAAGAATATTAATCTTTGTCCTTTAAAACATTATTCTTTTCAATTCCCAGATTTATGATATTCAAACTTAAGACTTTGCTGTAAGAATATTTACATCAAATATAAGGAAAGAGATGATTAAAAAAAGGGGGTACGAAGCGACGGAGAAAAGCCTCTCATCTCAAACCATGTTTAATATTCAAATCTATAAAAGGTCAATAATGATCTAGCTAATCCAGAAGTGTAACATTAATATAGAAAAGGTTGCTCTGATGATCAGCAGCAGGTGGAGTAAAGAGAGAATAAAAACCACATTCAGAGACTAACTGAATGTTATCTTTGTAAAAACTGAATTTCCTTTTTAATAATAATGAATCCTTCGACTCTTACCTTTGATAAAATGACTTTAACAATCAGGAAAGCACAGCTGACTGCAGTCGTGATCTGAGAGAGCGAGAGGAGACATTAAAGGGTTAATTATAACAGGTTTTAATACGAATACGTCACAAAACAATGACTCAGAACATTTGATTAGAATCTAAGCTAAGAGAAAGTACTTTGGTGTTTAACTCAACAGCGCCCTCTACTGGCAGAAATATAGAAATACATCATTTAATAACATCTCACCGCGATGGCCCACCAGTGACGGAGCCGGCAGACGGCGTACGCCAAGATGAGGACCGCAAACCTGAAGACCGCCAGGACCTGAGGAAGAAGAGGAGGAGGAGAGGAGGAAGAGGAGATGAGGAAGTAGTGGAGAGGAGGAAGAAGGAAGCATTTAGGAAAGAAAGATTTAAAGGACAGGAGGATGAAAAACAGAAAATAAAGGAGAGAATAGGAAAAAGGGATCAAGTCAAATACCAATTGAGCACCCTAAGGTACAAAATAGATACACACAAGGATGTTCATATATACAACTATTCATACATAAACGCATGAGCTTTTTCAACACTTTCCGTATTTTTTAAATGTATTAATGACTCTATAAATGACTATCATTATTATTATAATCATTTTCGTTTATTGACAGATTATTAATTCATATCTAACACAACACACTTTTATTTATACACACAAACAACACAACAAACAACAGCTCAAAATCTGAACTTTATTCAAATCAATATGTCTTGAGTTGCGTGTTGCATATTTGGTTGGTCTGTATATTTGTATGAAAGTCACATTGAGAAAATAATATGCAAAAAAAAGAGCAAGAACTCACAAAGATGTCGAAGAAGGAGGCGTGGTAGTTGTATTGCAGAACTTCTCTTTCCAGCTGCGACCGAATCCCGCCGTTTACCTGCAAACACAAAGTAGGAAATGTGAGCCTCTGTAGAAAATGTGTTCTCTTGCACTACTTGTAACTAATTCCTCCTTTCATAAGAAATATTTGAGGCTGAAAAAGCACGGTACGTCCACACGGCAGCGTTGCGTGCTTCAACAGAGACGCTTCCCATTCACTTTGAATGGGGTGACGTCACGCTTTGCCGAACTGCATTGTGGTTCCTTCGCGTTGTTTTGCCTCCGTTGCTAGCTTCGAAACTGTTCAAGCGTCGACGGAAGCGTCAGCCAATCAAATCATATGCCAGTACAAGCTCTAGCCAATCAAACCGCGTGGTTGTGTGTCCGGGGCGTGAGATTCATGTGATTGGTTGTTGGTCGCGCACCAGACACGCCCACCGGCAAGCTTCAACGCGCCGGTGCCTTGTGGACGTTCCGTAACTGTCACTCTTAAAGTGGATTTACATGAGGATTAATACATGAATATATCATTAAAACAATTTATATAAACTTGTTTTTTGTGTGTTTGAGGTCTGAAAACAGAGCGTATATTTTAGGGATGTAACGATACCAAAAACTCACGGTACGATAATATCGCGAGAAGAAGTCCACGGTACGATATTTATCGCGATATTGAAAAATAAAGGAAAAAAGTGTAAATTTTTTTAAATTTTTTATTAAATAATAAATCT